AATTCGCTTTGTGAGAAATCCAGAAACTAAGTGAAGAGCTCTTACACTCCAGGTGAACATGCAACCGCTCAATGAAGCAGGTAGGGAGATTTGGGGAATCCGCTGGCTGGAGTCCCTGCCCCCAGTGCAGCACTATAGAATCACAAAATGGAAGCAAGCAAGCTTCCAGATACAGAGTTCAAAACAATGGTTACAAGGATGTTCAAGGGACTTAGTGAGAACTTCAACAAAGAGATAGCAAGCATAACAAAGGACATAGAAACCATAAAAAAGAACGAGTCAGAAGTGAAGAACACAATAACTGAAATGAAGAATGCACTAGAAGGAATCACCAGTAGTCTAGATGAAGCAGAGGATCGAATCAATGATTTGAAAGCCAAGGTAGCAGAAAACACCCAATTGGAACAGCAAAGAGTAAAAAAGAATCCAAAAAATGAGGAGAGTTTAAGAGGCCTCTGGGACAGCATCAACCATACCAACATTCACATTATAGGGGTACCAGAGGAGAGGCGACAAAGCAAGGGATTGAGAACCTATCTGAAGAAATAATGACTGAAAATTTTCCTAACCTGATGAAGGAAATAGACATAAAAGTCCAGGAAGCAGAGCCCCAAATAAGATGAAGCCTTTAAAAAAAAGAATACCTGCAAAAAACTACATGTGCATGTAGATTTGGATCACATGTTTTAACCCATCCTGCCAATCTTTTCCTTTAAATTAGAAAATTTACTCCATTTAAAAGAATTACTCACTAGGAAAGACTTAGTTCTGCCACTTAGCTATTTGTTATCTGTATGTCCTATGTGTTTTTGTTCCTTAATTCCCCCATTACTGGCTTTTTTTTTTTGGTAGTTCATTGATTTTTGTGTAGTGTACCTTTTTAGTCCCTCTTTTTTTCCTGTAATTTAAAAATATATATTTTTAGTTATTACCTTGGGAATTGCAATTAACATTCTTAAGCTTGTAACAACCTAGCTAAATAATACCAACTTAGTTTCAATAGTATGTAAACACTATGCTTCTATACAACTCTGTCTCTCTCCCTTTTATATTATTATTACAGATTGCACATTTATACATTGTGTGTCCATTAACACATTTCTAATCACTTTTTAAATCATTTATCTTTTCTGTACTATAGGAAAAAAGAGGAGAAACCAAAAGTGAAATAATATTGGCTTTTATCTTTACCTATGTAGTTCTGTTTACCAGCGTTCTTTATTTCTTCATGTGGCTTTGAGTTATGATCTAGCATCCTTTTGTTTTAGTTTCAAGTACTCCCTTTAGCATTTCTTGTAGAGCAGGCCTATTACTCACAAACTCCTTCATTTTTTGTTAACTTGGGAATATCTTAGTTTCACCTTCACTCTTGAAGAATAATTTTGTCCAATATAAAATGCTTGGTTGAGTTTTTACCTTCAGCACTTTAAATGTGTTTTCCCACTACCTTCTGCCCTCCATGGTTTATGATGAGAAATCAGCTGTTATTGAGGATTCCATGTATTTAATACATAGCAAGTTGTTTCTCATTTACTGCTCTCAATATTGTCTTTGTTTTTGGCTTTTGACAATTTGACTATAATGTGTCTCAGTGTAAATTACCCTTTTTGGAATTCATTGAGCTCCTTAGATGTGTGGATTTAGGTTATTTCATTATACAATATTCGGGAAGTTTTCAGCCATTATTTTTTCAAATATTCTTTCCACTCCTTTCTCTCACTCTTTTCCTTCTGGCAATCCCATAATGCATATGTTGGTCTGCTTGATAGTTTGCTAACGATCCCTTAGGCTCTGTACATTTTTCTTCTTTTTTGTTTTTATTTCTGTTCCTCGGATTAGATAATCCCCACTGTCCTATCTTCTAGGTCACTGATTCTTTCCTCTTCCTGCTCAAATTTGTTTTGCACCCTTTAGTGAATTTTTCAATTCAGTTGTTGCAGTTTTTTAGTGCCAGAATTCCTGTTTGGTTTATTTTTATAATTTTTCATTATTGATATTCTCATTTCATTCATAAATCATTTTCCCAATTTCTTTTATCCATGGTTTCCTCAGCTTTTTTAGTATATTAAGACAATTGACTTAAAATCTTTACCTAGAAAGTCCAATTACTGGGTTTCCTCAGGGATGTTTTGTTTCTGTCAATTTTTTACTGTGAATGGATCATACTTTCTTATTTCTTTGTATGTTCTGTGATTCTTTTGCTGTTGTTGAAAATTGAACATTCAACTATTATAATGTGGTAATCCTGGAAATTAGATTTTCTCTATTCCTAGTGTTTATCTTGATTGATGAAGATTTAGTTTGTGTTCAGCCAGTGTTTTGAATGAAATTTCCTTGAATTCCAGGAGTTTAAAAATAACAACAGCATCAGGAACAATGAACCACCTAACCAAGTCTCTGTGGACTGGCTCTGTGCTACAGCATTTCTTTAATGCTTAGCCATGCCATTTACAATTCTGCCTCACCATTTACTTCCTGCTCGCACTGAGCCTATAGATCACCAATGGTGAAAAGTAAGGGTCTCTCAGATCTCTTCTGAACATGCTCATTGCCTTCTATAGTCCCCAGTATGTACCAGTGCTTTTGAATGCCCTAATTTCGCAAAGAAACTCTCTTCCCAGCTATTCCTCCCTGACTTCAGGTAATCTGTTGTATGTCTCAACCATAATTTTTAGCCCCAGGCAACTGTGGGGGTTTTTTGTTTTGTTTTGTTTTGTTTTGTTTTGTTTTTAACCATACAATGTTTTCAAGCAATGCCTATCACTTTTCCTCCCTGAGTGGTTTCTGAATTAGATAAAACAGAGATGAGTGTCAACCTTCAGGTAAACTTCAGACAGGTTAGAACAGAAAAACACAAATATTTGTTAATAATATCTACTCTATTGTCTTTGGAGCTAGATACCAGAGTCCCATGCTGAGAGCACAGGCTGCAATTTTCAAGAATGTCACCATGCTGGGGAAGTGGCAAGGCGAGGGTAAGTAAAAATGTCACAAAGATGTCATATCATTTTTAAGTTGCCTTTTTATTGATTCAGCATTCACTTGGTTACCGTAAACCTTTGATTATTTTTCAGAGCTCTGATAAAGTTTGTCCTGAGTTTCTGCTTATTTTTTCAGTGTTCCTCTGGAGAGATGGGAGCTTATAGTTGCCCACTCTACCATTTTGCTGATGTCATTCCAATGGAGCCTTCTTGACTCTGCTACACTGAGGGCCTGATTTACTCTCAACTCAGATGCTTTCTTCCCAATGTGACTGGAATAGAACTCATGGTATTTTCTTCTTCTTCTTTATTTTAACTAGAGTTTATTGGGATGACAATTGTTAGTGCAGTTACATAGATTTCAGGTGTACAATTTTGTACATCATCTATACATAACATTGTGTGTTCACCACCAAGAATCTGTTCTCCTTCCATCACCATATATTTGAGGTATTTCCTTCTAACTAACTTCTCTCTTCTAGATCCCCTGTCTGGAAATGGTTAGACCATTTCTTCAGTTACTCAAGCCAGGGAGCTTTACCTTTTCCCACATAGTTGGTAGAGTAGTAGTCAGTCAAGTCCTGTGGATGTGATGCAGCCTTCTAGGAGTTCTCTATCATTCCACTTATTACTAACTCACCATTTCTACATTAGTTCAGGTTGCTGTTATCTTCCACTTTGATTATTGCAATGTCTCCTGCCTGGATAATTTGCGTCTCATTTTCCCTCTCCATTTCCTATATGCATCTGCTCAAAGCACCCCATGCTTACTCCTGAGAACCCTAAAACATAAGCTAATTGTTTATCTCCTGCTTTTAAAGTCCTAATCTCCTTTAGGGCAAGAACTGTATGTATTTAGCCCTGAAACAGTGTCCAACATATAGCAAGAGCTGAACAAATAATTATTGAATGTCTGAAACAGACCCGCAATACCAGGTCTCAGAATGATATGATATAGTGTAGTAGGCATAGTAAAAGCAACAAGCAAAATATCCTTATATATAAGAATAAAAGGCCAGCCAAGTAGCTCAGTTGGTTAAAGTGTGAGTTCTGGGCAACAAAGTTATCAGTTCAATTCCCACATGGGCCAGTGAGCTGCGCCGGAGCTGAGCTTCCGCTGAGCTGGTGAGAGCGCATGTTCTTAGCAGCAAAGTTGCTGGTTTGACTCCCGCATGGGATGGTGGACTATGCGCCCCCGCAACTAGACTGAAAGTGGAGGCTGGACTTGGAGCTGAGTTTGCACCCACTACAACTAAGACTGAAGGACAACAACTTGACTTGGAGCTGATGAGTCCTGGAATAACACAATGTTCCCCTTCCCCAATTTTCCAACACTCCTCTCCTCCCCAATTCCCCAATAACATCTTTAAATAAATATTATATATATATATATATATATATATATATATATATGTGTGTGTGTGTGTGTGTGTGTGTGTGTGTGTGTGTGTGTGTGTGTGTGTATTTAGGAACTTTTAAAACTGAATTAGCTTTCTTGCTTCCTTACCTCTGATTTTGAAAAACCTACCCTTTATTCAAGATCTATTTCAATCCTTACTATCTCCAGCTCCTACCCATCAACACCTGTCAATTTGGCACTGAATTATACACTAATTTGAAATCCCTGGTATAATTCATAATGCTCTCCTCATCAAAAAAGGGGTGGATATGCTAATGTTAACGAAGATATATACCATATTGCTTATAGATGCTATAAACAGAATGCAGTTCGACTCCACTCCCCAGGACTAGTTATTCATCACTGACATGCTTAATAATATATTATCTTATGTTGGTTATAATTAGATATTGTTTTGATGAGTTTTATTTAACCATTAGATCTACATTTCCCTGAAAGTAACAACCTTTATTTGACCAGTTTTTGATTAACCAAGACCCACAGTTCAAGCAAACATACAATACATATTTTCCCAACATAAATGTTTTTGTGGGTTGTGTAGCCATGCCTTGGTCTATAATTGAGTGAGACTTACAGGATGAGCTGCACTATGAGTTTACTTTTATTTTTGCATTGAATGTTTTAATACAATGTTATTATACCTGGAGAAATCATAGCCTACATGACAATATTAAGGGAGCAATGTACTCATCTTCCCCTGAGGAACCTGGATGGGTGTGGAAGGGTTTCTCCATTTCACTTTGCTTTCTCATTATGCTTGGGAGATGAATTCTCAATTTGGCTCATCCAGCTGGAGACACCACTCCACATGTGAAGAGTCTGTATAGTCATATTCAAGTCAGCATCCAGAGCCACACATGGATACATTTGTGAACCTGCTCTTTGAAAATAAAGAAGGAAAGTAGGTTTGATGGGAAAAGTCACATATCTTACACTCCATCTTCCACATTGCCCAGGATAGAAAAGTTTTCAAGCTTTCTATCAACAACTAAGCACACTAAATCCACATACATATTATGTACTATCTCATCCCCCAATAAGTACGTCTTTGCAAAGGCATAGAAATGATGCTTTTTGCTGTGTGATTTCTAATATTTTATTATATTACCATGTATCGCCCACAGGTAGTTAGTAGGTTCCAAGTTCCCAAATATTTAGTGAATATACACATATTTAAGGCTGCTGAATGAAACCTTGGCAATTCAAAGTGGAGAAATAGAGGGGAGGCAAGGAGAGGGACTGCATGAGACTGTCATGGCAGATGGCACAAACAGCTTGAGACCAAGGCTTGCAAACCTGAGGGTGTCGTGCTTGCCCCACTGTCTCCCAGGTCTCTGGCATCTACAAGATTTGGTTTTGAAGTTTCAAGGCTGCTATTGAACAGTATAGTGTGACTGTCAGGAAATAAAGTTTAATTCAAGAATATGGATAAAGTTCTGGTCTTTTCAGAACAAACTTGTCCTAAACCCAAACACTGTAACAACTAAAGAAAAGGAAATAATTAAAGAGGTACTGTACTTTAGTTTTCCTCAGGATTCTCAGGAACAAACAATTCATTAATGACCTCTGTTGCCTCATAGAGATTAGATGATCCATGGACAGCATTTTTCAAAGTACTTTGTCCAAATCTGGCTCGGATAGAGTCTGGGGACAATAGTTTTGCTTCCTCTGGGTCTGTGGGACCCATCAATCGTCTCCAGTCTGAAACAGCATTCCACTTGGTCAGGACCATGACCAAAGATGGACCCCTGCAAATAACAATGCTTTCAGAAGACTTGGGCTATTTACAACTGTACAGATTGCATACATGGCTAAAGACAGAATGCAACGGCTTCAACCTGAGAGCTTGTCTTTATTCTTTGTCCTTATTAGTGAGATTTTGTGTTTTCTTTTTTTCTTTAATTTCTCCCCCTTCCAACAGGTTTTTGTGTGTGTGTGCTAGAAAAATGCTGTAGTTTAATTGTAGGGATATGTGCCAGGCATGGTTCCAAGTACTTTCTAAGTGTCAATTATTTAGCCCTCAAAACAAACTTATTATCCTCATTTTACAGATAAGGAAACTATGGCACAGATAGAATATGTTGGTAAGCAGGAATTTAAACCAAGATAACCTCTATATCTAATGTGATGACCTAAAGAAACAGAGGAAGGAGAGATGGACGTGAGGGAGGGATGGAGAGAAGAAGGAGAGAGAGGAAGCTATGGAGGAAAGAAAGGAGGTAGGAAAAAAGATGAACCCCAAATATTAACAGGGTGTCTCTTCATGGAGTTACATGGAATGCTTTAATTAAATATTTTTCAAAGTTTCTACAATGAACATTTACTATTTTATAATGCAAAGAACTATGCATCAGAAACTTACTCGGATAACATTTCCAATATATTTTTATAAAAGTGTTTTTGTTTTATTTTAAAATAAATTTTGCCTGCTTGTTCTTCATTTAGCAGCATTTCCTTCATCTGTGTTATTTCAAATCCATTCTCTTTAATGAGCTTGAAGATCTCCTCTAGGGAAAACATATATTTGCTAATCATACAGATTGCCTTTACTTTTGCTTCATATTCAAGTAGACTGAAATAACTAAGGAATGTGACAGTTATCTTTGCATACTGTGATTTAAAACCAAAACCATGCTAAACTAAACTGAACTTAAAAAGTACCAGACATTCAGAATTTTAATATGCTAATGTAGATGTTCGAGCTCTGAGATACATCTTTCCAGAAACCACTGGAAACATCTACTAGAGTATAACAGTGGGAGAGAAGGGGGACTGCTCCTATGCTAAAAGTGAAGACATGTTTTCATCTCTGTGCTACAAATGCCAAGGAACTTCTTGCTAGATATGGACTGACAGGGAGCGCCAATCTGAACTCTTCTCCCTGAAGTAGTGGGGTACCATTGAGGGAATTAAATAAAATAAGTCTTGTCAAAATCTCACCAACAGCCTAAAGGTTGAGGGCTACATTCTGGAGATAAAGGTGTTCACTGCATTATTATTTCAACTTGTCTGTAGTTTGAAATTTTTCACTAAATTTGGAGAAAATGTATACATTGGCTTTTATTTTTAAATATTTACCTCTTTGTTCATGTGTTACATGAGGTTTAATCAGTCCTAAAACTTTTTGAGGAGGAAAGAAATACTCTATTTCCTTTTCAGCAGCTTCTAAGGAAACACTTCCATACAACTGGTTGATAGGTAAACTTTCCATTGCAAAGTGTACACATAAACTTTGGAAAAGAAATCAAGTTAAAAACTGTTGTAGCATAACATGACATAATAAAACATATCACAATGTAACACCATATAAGTTGTTCAAAAGTTATGAAGCAACAGCAACTCACCCTGATCTAGGCATTGTGCAAAGGAAGTTACTACAGAGTGGCTTGGGACATGCTACTTCCTTCCAAGGACACAATAGTTATTAGGAAGAAAGGACAGGAACATTTAAATAATCCTGATAGTGGATGTTGACACGTAACTGAATGAAGGAATGGATGACCTGGTGCAGTGACAAAGCACAGAATATAGAATCCTGGTTGCACTGCTTGCTAGCTATGGGACAGTGAGCAATTACTTAACTTCTCTGTGCTTAGTTGTCTCAAATATAAATAGAATTAAAAAACCCGTTTTGGAAGGTGATTTTGAGAATGTAATCAGCTGATGTATTTGAAATATATGGCACATATTAAGCTCTTAATAACTATTCCTGTCCTTCTTTCACTACTAAATATTATCAAGCACTAGAAATGGCATTTGACTCTATACCAAACTATAAACTTTAAATCCATGAGACACTACAGTAGAACCTTCCCCCCGCCATAGCAACAGAAGACGAGCCTATAGGACAGTAAAACGACAGGAGCGATGGTGATGAGCTGGACAACGCATGTCAGGTTAGACAATGTATTCTGGTTCTGCTTCTATATGATAGGTGAATATATACATCGCTTAAATCAATTGTTCCTTGATATTTTTTTAGTTGCCATTTTTTCTATCTATGTACATTTCAATAGAGGAGATGCTCACTGCCCACTGCATTTTCTGTCTGTGACACAGAGTCCTGAGCAGCCCCCAACCCCCAAAATTCAGCCATAGTGAATAATGTCCCTTCCTGCTAAGACAGTGACATCACTGGAAACTTGGCTTCCTGTCCTCAGCTTCAAGACCTTCTTTTTGCCTCTCTGGTTTAAGTGATCCATTCAGATTTCCTTTTCACCTCATCCAAACTGACCTTCCCACTCAGGCCTTGGTTGTTCTCACACCTCTAATTTGGACAAATTTGCAGCCTAAACCTTGGAGCCTGTGCTTGCCAGGAATGGAGGATGTGCACACTGAATGGTGAAAACAGCCTAAATCACCAGCAGCACTTACTCCATTCAATGCAGAGAACTACATTCAGCCCCTCTGTTATGCTATTAGACACAATTTTTGGAAAACATCTGTGTACATGTGCATGTGTGCGTGCATGTGTGCGTGCATGTGTGCGTGCATGTGTGTGTGTGCATGTGTGTGTGTGTGTAAGTATATAATAGAAGAGTTTCTATATTTATCTGTTATGCAGGTGCCCGTATTTCAAATTAAGCAACGTAGATTGCAGGATCTTATACCCAGGTGCAGAAAAGGGACAGAGCTCTGTAGAAAGTTTTCTAAAAAAACCTGAAAGACCTGGGTGGAGCCAAGGAAACTGGAAAAGTGGGAACCAGTAGAAAATAACATTCAGGATTAGTTGTGAACTTGTGGCAACAGAGAGATCATAAGGCTCTGGAGGAGAAACCTTACTATAATAGTGGGGTGGAGAGAACTCAGTGCCTTCACCTACAGAAAATGGCTTTGTGCTGGTACACTACCTCCATACTTGGAACCACAATTTCTAGAAGAGTGTGCCTGTTGTGTTGATAGGAGTTCCTCTCTTTAATGCTATGCTTTGTATTCTATGCTACATTTCATTAAGAGGTTCTGTGGCACTTGGCTCACACCATTTACAGTGTCCAATCCACATTATCCTTGATAGTTACTTTCTGGCTAAATAAGGGATAGAGCGTGTCCATTCAAGACAAGTCAGATTCAAGATATCCTACCCAATAGAAACCATTTCAGCTTTTATGTAAGTAATGTTTTGTAAGTACTGTTTATTGTGTAAACATGTGTCAAGCTTGCTCTGTCTGATAGAGCATCTCTATTCTTGCTCACTTAAAGGGAAGGCCTTTCTTTCCCTGAGTTGAATCCTATCCTGCAATTGGCACAAAGAATTCAAGTGAATTGCAATTCAGTTAGTTCAATCAGCTATATCCCAAGAATGGAGACAGTATTCCCATCCTTCTGGTGATAGCAAGCCTGATGGTTAAGATAAAAAAATACTTACAGAGTGCCCCCTATGTGCCAGGTAACATGCCATGTTTTGAGCTGATTACAAAGTTTAGGTGATATCTAAGATTCATCAGTAAACTAACTTAAAAATGGTTCCTCCCAAATTATAGACTACATATTTAATTAGTCATCATTGTCTTAAAATGCTTATGATCAACTAAAGAACCTGCAGCTGTCATCATACCCTTCTCAAGAGAATTTCTCTGAAATGGTGGATAGGGCAGGTATTTCTGCCAAGAGATGGCCTTTTGGATAGGTATCCACCACTTATTTCCCAGCTCCAAACCAAGCAACCCACACTTCCTCTTGAAAAGCCTGGGCCATGTTCAGGCTGCCACTGGGTAGTCCACTCCTGACACAGGAAAAGTAGCTATCCTGAGACCCTCCCATGGACTAGAGCTGTTTCCTATATCCTATATATCCAAAAAGGTATTATAATGGCTCCCATGAAAAAAGTTTGGGACTCATAATATGAATCCTACCTCTCTGGAAGATATTCTTTAGCTTCTTCAACAGTGTTTGGTCCAATTAACTCTTTCCAATGTTGTAAACCATTGTCTCTTAATAAAACAAGGGCTAGAGATGGACCACTGTTAGAAAAGCAAAAAACAAAGTCAATGAAAGTATGGCTCAATAGCTAATTATATATATATATATAATATAATATATATATATAATATATAATATATATATATTATAAGTGCTTATGTTAAATTGACTACAAAAAGTCAAAATAATCCTTTTATCCAGAGTCTGAAGTTAATTCCCATGGGTGGATTCTTAAGAGCGAATTTATGAATAGATGGAAGCACAGAAATGAAAGGAGAAGGGACTTGATTCTGAAAGAGTGGCTCCTCTATTGTTCCCATTCTCCTGCTGATTTATGTACCCTTGCTGGATTTCTGTCCCAGCTGCTATTTCACTCATCTTCTAGAAGCCTGATAGATTTCTAGCACCTTATTCTTTTCATTGAACTAAAGATCTTTAGGATTACCAAAGTCCTCGAGAGTCAGTCAGTTCTCTGCTTAGACTTGATGATGTTGAACACCCTGGATTTCTGGCATTCAACTCAACTGAACTCCAGCAACTTCACCTGGGACCTTTCCATTGTTCCAATAACATTCCAGGAAGACCAGAGAAGAATAGTTGAGTAGAGAATCAACAAAGGAGAGAGATTGGCAAAGGAGCAGACTCAGCACATGTTTACAGAATTGAGAGAACTGGCAACTTGAACAGAAAGAAGGGTTAACAGAAGATTTAAATGATTCAAAAACAAATCAGACTGTACTTTCTACACCTAAAATCTACTGGTGTAAATTTACCTGGTCATGTTTTCTATAAGATTTTCAAAATAATCTTTATTTTCATATTCCTTGCATAGTGTTTGAGCTTCTTCTTTTGTTAATACTATTTGTCTTTGCATCAGTATTTTAAAGCCTTCATCTTGAATGATATTCAAAACATCCTCTAAATAAAAGTCACATAATAAGTTTTAAATTGCTAGATTATTGGTTACATGCATAATATAAAATGTATTATCATAAGGGCATATAATATATTTTACTCTAATATAAAGTTTTAAAATTTGCAAAAATAGTGCATTAGATTTTAATTTAAAGTGAGCAATATCCTCAAGATATCAAATTATGATGCTATTTCCAATTTTTTATGTCATATACACACAAACACACAGCAGTATCTCATTAGCAAACATTTTCTATAGTATAGTCTTTGTCTCGCAGACTGGAATCAAGGCAAGGCTATCCCCTCTCACCACTTCTATTCAACATCATATCGGAAAACCTAGATAGTGAAATAACATAAGAAAAGGAAATAAAGTGTATATAAAAGGGAAGGAGGAAATAAAACTGTATTTGTTCACAAATGACATGACTGTCAATGTAGAAAATCCCTAAAAAACAATAAAACTCCTAGAACTAATAAAAGATTATTATTATAGCATATTTGCAGGTTACTTTTTTTTAAGATTTTATTGGGGAATTGGGTCAGGGAAACAACGCTGGGGAATCAGGGGAAAGAGAACAGACAAGTTGCTGTCCGTTTGTTCTTCAGTCTAGTTGTGGAGGACATTGCTTCACTGGCCCATGTTGGTATTATCATTGCACTCTTCCCGGGTGAGGCTGATCAGTCGCCGACCTCTGGATGGCTGTTCACAGTGGTTCTTGGCAGCTCATGCAGGCTGCCGGCTGCTCATGTTGGCTGCCAGCCACACACAGTAGCTTATGGCAGCCCACTGCAGCAGGGGCTGCAGCCTACACCATCGCTGGCGACTCACGGCAGCCCAGCTCCAGGTCGAGCTGTTCTTCACCATCTTAGCTGCAGAGGGCAGTGTCACTGGCCCTCATGTGGGATGTGAACCAGGGCCTTGTGGCTCAGAGCTGGCATCCCAAGCCAGCTCTTAACCAACATGCTATTCTGCCGACCCTGCAGGTTACTATTAATATACAAAAGTCAATGACTTTCCTATATATCAACAATGAATATTGGAATTTGAAATTTAAAACAATAGCATTTACATTAGCACACAAAAAATGAAATACATGAGTAGAAATCAAACAAAATATGTACAAAACCTGAATGAGCAATATTACAAAACTCTGGTGAAAGGAAAAAAGGATCTAAATAAATGGGAACATATTCATTGCTCATGGATAGGAAGACTCAAAATTGTTAAGATATCAATTCTTCCTAACTTGAAATCTAGGTTCTACACAATCCCAATCAAAAGCCCAGCAAGTTACTTTGTGAATATGGATATTGACAAATGGATTCTAAAGTTTATATGGAAAGGCAAAACCCCAGAATAACCAGCTCAATATTGAAAGAGAAAAACAATGTTGGAGGACTGGTACTACCCACTTCAAGACTTACTATAAAACAATACAACAGTAATCAAGACAGTGTGGGATAGGCAAGAGAATAGACATATATAACAATGAAACAGAATAGAGAACCCAAAAGTAGACCCACACAAATATAGTCAATTGGTCTGTGACAAACAAGTGAAGGTAATACTGTAGGACAATGATAGCCTTTTCCACAAATGGTGCTAGAAGAACTGGACATACACATGGAAAAAAATAATCTAGACACAGATCTTATACCATTCACAAAAAATAACTCAAATGGGTTATAGATCTAATTTTAATATACCAAACTATAATCTTTCAAAGGCAAAAGAGAAGAAAATCTAGGTGACCTGGGTTTGGCAATGATTTTTCAGTTTAAACACTAAAAGAACAATCCAAAAAGAAAAAAAATAAATCTAAGTTGGACTATATTAAAAATAAAAACTTTTCAATGAAAGACACTGTAAAAAACACAGAGCCAAAAACCTAGAAACATATTTACAAACCACATATATATAAAGGACTTGTATTCACAATATACAAAGAGCTCTTATAACTCAACAAGAAGTTAAAAAAAAAAACCTCAAGAAATGGGCAAAAAATCTGAAGAGACCCCTCACCAAAGAAAGAGAAATTAACATATGAAAAGATGCTCAGCATCATCTGTCATTAAGGAATTGTAAATTAAGACAACTATGAAATACCATTTTATCCTTATTAGAATAGGAAAAAAATCTAAACAACCACCTGTTGGCAAGGATGTAGAGCCAAAGAAACTCAATTGCCGTGTGGAATGGAAAATGGTACAGCCACTTTGGAAAACATTTAGACATTTTCTTACAAAGCTAAATGTAGTTTAAACATATGACCTAGTATTTACACTCTTAGGTATTTACCCAATTGAATTAAAAAACTTATGTCTACACATGCAAAAAAATCATATATTAATGCCTATAATAGCTTTATTCATAATAGTCAAAAACTGGAAAAAAAACAAGATGCCCTTCAGTACGTAACTGGGTAAACTTTGGTACATCCATACAATGGAATATTATTCGGTGATAAAAATAAATGAGCTATCAAACCACAAAAAGACATTGAGGAACCTGAAAAACATATTGTTAAGTATAATAAAAGAAATCAAGTCTGAAAAGGCTACATACTGTATGATTCCAACTATATGACATTCTGAAAAAGGCAAAACTATAGAGACGAAAAAAAAATCATGGTTGCCTGGGGTTAGGAGGGAGGAAGGGAAAAGTGAATAGGTGAAGCACAAGAGATTTTTAGGGCAGTGATTCTATTTTGTATGGTTCTATAAAGGGGACATGTAACATTATGCCCTGGTAAAAACCATGAGTACAAAGCAAAGAGTGAAACCTAATGTAAGCTGTGGACTTTAGTTAATAACAATGTACCAATATTGATTCATTAATTGTAAAAATATGTCACAATAATATAAGATGTTAATGGGAGAAACTGTTAGGCAGGCATAGGGGAACTCTGTACTATCTTTGTTAATTTTTTTGTAAATCTACAGCTATTCTAAATTATAACATCTATTCACTTAAAAATATGTATATATTTAAAAAGATGTTAAAAGGCAAACAGAACATTCCAATGAAAAAAACTCAAGGCCCAGATAGTTTTATGAAAAATTCCAGTAACGATTTAAGTAAGATGTAATATCAATTGTATACTATATTTTACAGAAAATAGAAGAGTAGTGACTACTTCTCATCTCATTTTATGAGGCCTGCATTACACTGATACCAAAACCAGATAAAGCATTACAATAAAAGAAAACAAATAGCCCTCATGAATATAAGTATAAAAGTCTTCAATAAAATATTTAAAATTAAATTCAGAATTATGTAAATTGGACAATATACAACAACTAAGTGTGGTTTATCTAGAGAATGCAAGGCTGGTTCAACATTCAAAAATCAAAGCAATTGCTATATTATCAAACTCTAGAAAAAAATATAATCATATCAATAGACACAGAAAAAAAAAATTGAGATAATACAACATCTATTCATGATAAAAAAAAAAAACAACACCAAACTAGGAATAGTTAATTGTAAAACACTGAATGCTTTCTCTATAAAGTCAGGAACAGGCAAATGTTTCTACTCTCACCTTTCCTATTCAACATCACACAAGAAGTTCTAACTAGTGAGTCAAACAAGGGAAGCAAAAATAAATAAGTAAGTAAGTAAGTAAATAAATAAATAATATACAAATTGGAAAGGAAGAGATAAAACTATCTTGATTTGTCAATGATATTATTGTCTACATCTATGGTCCTTGGCCAAGATTTTTGTCCCCCAAGGGTGCCTTTGACAATGTCTGAAGATATTTTTGGTTGTCACAGCTGGGAGTGGGGGGGGATGCTCCTGACATCTAGTGAGTAGAGGCTATAGGTGTTGTAAACTTTTTACAATACACATGATACAACCTCTCTCAAAAAAGAATTATCTAGCTCCAAATGTAACTAGGCCTGAGGTTGAGAAATCTTGGTCTATATAAAATTTCCCAAGGAGACAACATCAAAGCTTCCAGAACTAAATAAGTTCAATAAGTCAAAGAATACAAGGTCAATACACAAATATCATTGTATTTTCATACACTAGGTATGAGAAAGAATTCATGCTGTGAATTTATGGTTTGTGTTCCTACTCTGCCATGTTCACTCTGCTATGTGAATATGGGATGAAGTTAAAAATAACCTTTTACGTGCCAGGTACTTTATGCTTCTCACTTTAATCTTTTGAATTTTACACATGAAGAAATAGACTTGGAAAAATATATTTTTCAAATCACACTATTAAAAGAGGTTGATCGAAGTTTTGAATTAAGGCATTTCACACATGAAAGCTTCCAATCTTTATGTAATAATTCCTGCGATGTTAAAATCTACTCTAACAAATTCATAGGTTAGAAAATACTTTGTAAACTCTTAACAAAAATGTTTTATTCATTATTATTGAGATATTAGTAAAATAAAATTAACAAAATTTCTTACTTTAGATACTTTGTCTTCAAAGATAAATTTAAAATAATATTTTTAATATAATTATACTAGGGTTTATTCAAATCCCATGTATAAAATACTTAAACAATTTAAACTTTATTTATTACCTTTTTTTCCTTGAAAGAGATCTGGTCGAAGTAATGCCATTATCCTTTCTAATTTTACGTTTTTCATACTTCTAAAATCAGGGAAGAAGATGTCAATAAGCTTATTAACATTTACTATATTCTCTTCAATATCACAAAACTCAGATAGATGTTGTCTTTCCATATATTCTTGTAAACTGTTGAAATCCAAAATATAATTTAAGATTATTAGAAGTGAAGTTTAATAACCCATGCAAAAAAATTAAAACTGATATGTTCACAAGTAATTTGGGGTTTACTAAAACAAATAAAAAATTAATTATACATGAAGATGTTTCTTGAAATCTGAATCTGCATTGTCCTAGTGAACTCTGCTCCCTCCACCCTGGTGACTCCTTGGGACCCCACCTCAGCCAACTCGCATACTGCCTGAGGCTCTTTCAGGTGGCTAAGCCTTACATGAGCCTGCAGGCAATGGCAGGCCTCAGAGTGCCCTGGGATTTTTGCTGAGCTGCCCCAGGCCTGGTACTGGTGGCTTTAGTTCACAGCATGCCCTCTCCCCACACACCTCCAGGACAACCAAAGGCAGTGGCAACACAATTGCTTTGTAGCTCTACTAGGTGGCTCCTGGCTGGTGACAGTCAGCAGCTGATCTTGGCCTCCACAGGAGACCCTCCCCAATAGCTCCAGAATCAATACACACAGCGGCCAGCTTCAGACCACAACAGAGCACCACCCAATTAGCCTCACAAGCAGCACACTAAAAGGATGGTCCAAGCAGGCACCAGAGCCCACTGGGATGAATTCTGCTCCATGGGGTCAGCACCACACAGCAGCTCCATACGTTGGCCATGGCCAATCCTCACTGCTAGTTAGCCTAAGGGTCAATCCAACCCATTGATGTGCTAACAGTAATCAAGCCTTAACTACAACAGGAGAATACACACAACACAAACAAGGGACACTCTTAGAGCACCCAGCTCAGGTGATTAGGAAGATGTGTCACTGGTCCCCACAAGACACCTACTATATAAGGCTACTCTGCCAAGACTGGAGGATGTAGCACATCTACCTAATACATAGAAACAAGCAGGGAGACAGCCAAAAGGGGTGGAGGGGGGAGACAAAGAAACATGTCCCAAATGAAAGAACAGGATAAAACTCCAGAAAAAAACTAAATGAAATAGAAATGAGCAATCTACCAGATACAAAGGTAAAAACACTGGTTAGAAGGATGATCAAAGAATTTAGTGAGAACTTCAGCAAAAAGATAGTAAGCATTAAAAAGAACATAAAAACCATGAAAAAGAACCAGTTAGAAATGAAGAATACAGAAACTTGTAGGGATCCAAGATGGCAGAATAGATAAATGCTGTGCTTGCCTCATCCTGTGAGCACATCAGAATTACAACAAAATTATAGAGCAGTCAGCATGGTGACCATCTGAAGTCTAGCTGAACAAAAGTTATATAACTAGGGATATAAAGAAGTCATGCTGAGACTGGCAGGTGGGGCGGAGACACGAAACAGGCTGGCCCCAAACCTCCATGTGGCAGATGAAAATTAGAGGGATATCTCAGCCACAGAGGTTCCCCACAGAGGAGCCCCACGCCAGCTTCCCAGCCCAGAGTACTGGTGCCAGGAAAAAGAGCTCCTACAACATCTGGTTGTGAAAAACAGTGAGGATTCTGACTATCCAGGTGGGAAAGAAGGAGGTGGGAAACTCAGGCATCCTCTTAAAGGTCCTGTGCAGGCACTCACACTGTGCTCTAGCGGAAGAATGGTGACTGTGGGGGTATCGGAGACATACAGTGAAAGACAGGCATGTAACTAAGGGGTGAGGACTGGCTGATAGTCTCCATTTTTCCTGTGTAGGGCCCTCCTCCCATGCAGCCAGCAGGTAGGTGCTATCTTTCCTGTGTTGAGCCCACCTCCACAGGCCAAATCTGAATCTGATTGGCCTGGTATGCTCTGCTGTTCCACCCTGCTGACTCAATGAGACTCAGCCTCATCTAACTTGTATACCCCCAGAGGCTTTATCAGCTGCTGAACCTTACAGGAGCTGGCAGGTGGAGCAGGCCTCAGAGTATCCTGGATTTTTGCAGAGCTAGTACAGACCCATTACTGGAGGCAGCCATCCACAGTTTGCAGTGTGGCCTCTCCCACATGCCTCCAGGTACAGCACAGGCAGTGACCAATTGTGGATTGCTTTGTACTTCCTAGCACATACTTCCTGGCCAGTCACATGCATTGGGTGACCTGGGCCTGCACAAGAACCCCTCCCAAGAGGCCCTGGAACCAACACACTGGGAAGTTGGCTTCACACCACAGCAGAGCACAACCCAATTACCCCCACAAGCAGCACACCCAAAGAGTGGTCTCAAACAGGCACCAGAGCCCACTGGGGTAAACTCCACTCCATGGAATAAGCTCCCATGCATAGCAGCCCATAAGCTGTGGGCATGGCCAAATCCCACAGTCATTAAGCCTGGGGCTCAATACTACCCACTGACATGCCAACAGAAATCAAGGCTCACCTATAACAGGTAGGCACACATAACCCACACAAGGGACACTCTTGGAGCACCCAGCTCAAGTTACCAAGGAGACTGTGCCACTGGGCCCCATCAGACTGCTACTACATAAGCTCACCCAACATGACTGGGCAACATAGCAGCCTTACCTAATACATAGAAACAAAAACAGAAGCAGCCAACATGAAGAAACAAAAAAATACATCCCAAATGAAAGAACAGAAGGAAACCCCAGAAAAAGAACTAAACAAAATGGTAGCAAGCAATTTACCAAATACAGAATTCAAAACAATGGTTTTAAGGATGCTCAAGGAACTTAGTGAGAACTTCAGTAAAGAGATATTATAGCAAGCATAAAAAAGGACATAAAATCCATAAAAAAAGAACCAGTCAGAAATGAATAACACAATAACTGAAATGAAGAATGCACTAGAAGGAATCACCACTAGACTAGATGAAACAGAGGATCAAATCAATGATATGGAAGGCAAGGTAGCAGAAAATACCCAATCCGAACAGTGAGAGGAAAAAGGTGCCCCCCAAAATGAGGAGTTTAAGGAGCTTCTGGGACAACATCAAGCATACCAACAGTCACATCATAGGGATACCAGAAGAAGAAAGAGAGCAAGGAATTGAAAACCTATTGGAAGAAATAATGATGGAAAACTTCCCAAACCTGGCAAAGCAAATAGACACACAAGCCCAGGAAGCACAGACAGTCCCAAACAAGATGAACTCAGATAGGCCCACACCAAGACGTATCATAATGAAAATGTCAAATGTTAAAGATGAAGAGAATCTTAAAAGCAGCAAGAGAAAGCAGTTAGTTTCCAAAAGGGAGGTCCCATAAACCTGTCAGCTGATTTCTCAACAGAAACTTTGCAGGCCAAAAGGAATTGGCATGAAATATTCAAAGTGATGAAAAGTAAGGACCTAAAAGCAAGATTACTCTACCAAACAAAACTATCATTTAGTATTAAAGGACAGATAAAGAGCTTCCCAGACAAGAAAAAGTTAAAGGAGTTCATCATCATCAAACCAGTGTTGCAAGAAATCTTAGAGGGATTTCGTATATATATTTACATTGAAAGTAATCGTTGATAGATATGCAGTTATTGTCATTTCAATATATATATATATATATATATATATATATATATAATACACACACACA